ATTGACTGCAGGTCGTGAAACTACTGAGCAGAAAGCTGACTAATCATTGAACAGGAAACTGATTGGTTGTTGGATGGATGAATGACTAACTGCTGATTGGATGCTGTCCGAGGTCTCCTCAATAAAAGAAGCCACCACACCGTGATTTCTCATAGGCTGGAAGCAACTGCAGTTGGCTGATATTCGAACATCCGGGTTACTATTATAATACCGTTTGAACACTGACTGAGAAACTGGTTACAGAACTGACAGAATACTGCTTGATCATGGACAAAGAACGGATTGAAGATCGATTGTACTATTATTTGATTGTTGCCATCGGCGTTGAACCATATTCACTGGCAACTGTGCAGAGCAAAAAAAAAAAAAACTGCTAGGACGTGCTGAGTCCCGCGCATTAATAACAGTACTCAGCACCATCCACTGTTAACAATGCTGAGTATCGAACGCTGTACCGTTTACCAATCGAATTCATTAGCAGAGTCTTCTAAGAGGAGGCTTGAGCACTTTCATGCTCTCTTAATTTTTTTTACTCTGGCCGTCTCCAAACTTTTTGGCAATGACACCGTACTGTGCGGTTTTCCACTTGGCTCACAGATGTAGAAAACATACTCAATGAGCTTATGACGACTTTCCACCTTTTCCACAGCAAGTCCCCTTAGAAATCTCTTGTATTCCTCAGTCTTACCAACTATCTTATTTTCCCAACCTTCCGTTTTTGCTTGGTATAAGGAGTAGGTCACGACCAAGGTGTCCTTGCTTCCCATATTTCCCCTAATAACCTTAATTTTCCCTTCTGGCTCGAGACTGGGAAAACGAAAAAGCATCTATCTGTACGCTTTCACTAACTAACAGTCCCCTGATATGTGGTCTCTTAAGAATGGCACGACTGAGTTCAGACCATAATGCACATCATGAGACACCCCTTTTGGTTGCAGATCTAGTATGCCCAAATATATATATATATATATATATATATATATATATATATATATATATATATATATATATATATATATATATATATATATATATATATATATATATATATAAAAAAAAAACAGCCTGGTAAACCGGAGGCAGAGAGAGAAGAGGACAACAAACGGAGGGGCGGTGATATATACGTGTATTCCGCCGCCTTTCCTTACCGTAAGACATAGTGATATGCTATAACGTAGTCATTGATCCTAGTGACTTCGATGAGGCCTCTATCAACAACCCTTATCTGCAACTTTTCAAATCAGAGGATTATCACTCAATGTCTCGTAACTGCCTTGCTTACAGAAGGCTAAGCAATGAGCAAAGCAAAAATTCTCACTAAACTTAGGTTGCATACCCGAACTGGAGTATCTGATTTCTAAGGACAAACGCCAGACCATGGCCCAGATGAGCAGTCCGTCCACTCAGATTCCTGTGCTTGAAGGCAACATTCAGTGCTCAAGACTCTTTCCAGCGCCACTTCGACCTACCTTATGTGGTTTAGTTAATCAGGAGACTGAATCTAAAAGGTTCGTTTCTCACTTTGCATTTCGCAAGGTATCAGCTGGTCAGACAACAAGGTGGCATAGTCCACATTTTCGCAGACAAGGGCTTCACAGACTTCAATGTTCGCCCGACCACCTCTAAACTTGTCTCCTTACGGGCTTACATTAGAATTGTCAGACTCTGCTCTTATGTCCTGTTAGACCTCATTCCTGACCAAAATAGGGGAGGTTCTAGGTTAACACTCGCTTTTTGACTTCCTCTTTATACCCGACTCAGTATCTTTAGGTGCAACGCTAGTCCCCGTTGACCAAAAACCTGACGAGTAAATAAACAATTTTTATGAGTACTGCGCGGCTTTTCCCGATTAAACGTCCTAGTTAAACGCGCAAGTCACGGGGGCAATTACTATGAGGTTTCCAAAACTTAGAGACTTTCGTCTTTTACAGAGGGAGTGAACTCCATCTGATAGGCTGATACCCCTTCGACGCGTATCGAGAAACCATAGCCCATCAAAAAACTTGCCAAAAATCATTCAACAACCTTCCTCATGCGAAGACTCTTCGAACAAAGGATGTAATAAAAACTCATAATTGCCTCGATTATATGAGTACATTACGAACGTAAGATTGGAAAACCACGCAAGAGTGCAAGAGATAACCCAGCCTTTGCATATGCAGACTGATTATTAAGCGAACTGAGAATGACCAACTACTAACCACTACATTTGTCGAATAACCAGTACAGTCACCCCAGAAGAGGCGATTTCTTCACGCTGGCAATTACGCCTAAATTCACTCGTTCTCTATCATTGGCTTGCTTGATGCTCACGACTCGAAACAGGCTACCAATCATACGCCGAATTACGATGATTGGCAACAACAATCCATTCTGTGAACTCTTAACTACCTTGGCGAGACCAGCGCGAGGGAAGATTGAGCCACATTCACCGCAAGGGTCAGATTTACCTGATGATTCTGCCCTCACCTCCGTTCAACACCCTCGTACCCAGATTCCACAGTCCCTCTTACATAAACCTCTTTTTTTTTTTTTGAAACTCGATTGATAGGTAGTCAATAGGCGTGGAGATGTACTCAGAGTACCGAAATTAGCACCAGGAAGCAAGCCAAGAACATTCCCAGTCTCCACAGTCCAATAAAAACACAAGGGGAAGAAGTCAATGATGCCAACCACTCGTCCACAACGGGATCACTTCGCAGAGCTCTGACTTTCTCCCCACAAGCTCGATCATCTGAATGCATGCACCACGCCCTTCTCTATTAGAGGTTCACCCTTCTCAGCTTCGAGGACCACGCGACACACGGCACTCCCTCGTCACAGACAATCTACCAACCCGTATAGGTGACGGCATCGGCCAGGAAAGTAAGGACCAAGGCTTTCCGTAGCGCCAGTGTTGACATCAACACTGCCCTCCCTGATTGAGTCGACCAGTACTCATTGTCGTGCTTGAGTTCTCTCTCTCAGTGTATCCTCCTCACAATCACAACTCAMCCTCTCGCTGATCAATCACTAATTGGCTGGTAATTACGGTCCACGTACAAGCGAAGAGCTATTGATTAGCATCCAAGACAGGGACGAGCCATACTCAGCGCGCAGCAAGCGGATTGAATCGCAAACTACCCCACGTCCTACGGATTAACCTTTCTTGATTGGCACTGTTCGCCCTATTCAGGCAAGATCCCTTCTCCCTTATTTTTTCATCACTACTGCCGGTGTAGGCACGTCGCGCGAGCGGGGGAGCAGCGGTTGACGTCAGCCGTCTTCTGCAAGCTCACGTCCTGCATTGTTTACACTTGTACGCACGGCTCGTTACGATCACTTCCGTGGCACATCACACACTGCAGCCCCGTTGATGTCCGCTTCTCGAACACACGTACATCACCTCTACCGTTCTCGTTCGTTAACCTCTCCTCATACGCACACCTGGGGCTGTTCTCGAACAAGACCGTCGTAGCTGCCTCTCCACCTTGCCCCTTCGGTGCATCCGACCATTCTCTAGCGCCCCCTTTTCTCAGAGTGCGCCACGTGTAACCCAGGTTCCTGCGCAACTCCCCTTGCCTCAGCCTCCCCGCTGTCATGAACTTCACCTCGGGTCCGCGCTCCACTGGTTGTGCTCGTCACTGCCTGAGCCTGGCTCCCCCTAGTCTCTCTCCGCTCACACACGCACCCCACAGTCTACACGCGTCGAGCGCTCGACGGGTCTGCCCCAGCTCGCTTGACTCTGGTTCGGGCTGAGATAGCTTCGGGCCCGTCCTCTGCAGGTGTCGTGGCTCGGTGGTGCCTCTGAACCTCACCTGGCCTTTTCCAGGATCGAAGGTCTGTCACTCTGTCGCTCTCCCCACTCCGCCTCTGAGTCTTCATCCCCGTAGGTCTGCTCGCGTTTTGCCACGTGTAGCCTGTACACACGCGTAACTGCCCTCACTCCTTTCTCTCTCACGCTGCCAAAATGTCGCCCGTGTTCTGCTGTCGCACTCTCCCCCTACACGTGTCTTTTTCCCCTGCTCTGCTTCTCACCCATTCCGCGGCCTCTGGGTGTCAGTTGTCGTGAGCTGGCCTCGGGCCCCTCTTCCACCGGCTTCACGGCCCGGTGATGCCTCTGGATCTCGCCTGGTCTATTCCAGGACCTGAGATCTGTCTCCCGGTCTCCCGCTTCGCTCATTTCACTCCCACCGCCTGAGTCCCTGTCCACGTGGGCCTGTTCCAGGTCCGCTGTGTCCATCGAGGTCTCGGTCTCATGATACGAGGCCGTTACCTGCAACCTTGCAGTCACTCCGTCCCTCCTGCAGCGCCTCTCCGCACGGTCTTTTGCCTCCGTGATCGCATCCTGCAGTTTTCCATCTGTCCACATCTCCACCTCTTTTGCCCCTTCCACGTTAATCTTCATTTTCACTTTATCTCCCCCATCGTAGTTGAGCATGACTGTGATCCAGGACCCTTCCCCAGACATGGGTCTCCACCGGGCCTGATGGTACCAGTATCCGGGCCTATACCCATGCAACGCCATAGCTAGGCTCAGTCCGATAAACAGCGCACCGGCCCCGCCTACTGACCCAAATGACCAGCACAGTACTGGGTACACAAACAGGGCCCTCAGATGGGTTTACACGTCCACCTCACCATTCCGTTCCCCCTTCTTCGACTAGGCCACAATCGCATAGCGAGACCGTCTGAGCGCTCACCATATGAGACAGTCCTCCCTTCTTTATAGGATCATTGTCTATCGCATTTCCAAACTCAGCATAGATAGCCCCGTTATTCCCTTGCCAATCTGTGTTTTTATTTCGACCAAAACTTTTCTTTATCAAGTTAGGTAAAACAAAATTTAAAATGAAAATGAGAATAAGATAAAGCGAACTAAACAAGACAAGGAAAAGAAAATTAAAAAAAAACGAGAGGCATAAGGCCAATGGTCATATCTTCTACCCCTCACCCCTTTGCTCAGAAGTGACCTGCAGACGCCACGCTGAGGTCCCATAACGGAATACTAAGGATCACATTTCCCCCCTTAAAGCGCAACGCAGGCTAATCTTCATCGGATGCTCGTGTCCGATGGTAAGGAGGGGGCTTATGACCTCCTATAAGGGGTGATGGGCTTCCTACCGATGCGGCCGCGGGTCGCCCCTCTTTTGGGGCTCGACTGCACAGCGCCAGGTCGGAGCTCACCCACAGACAGTATACACAAGGTCGGCCTTCTTAGGTCGTGGACCGCTGGCTCGAATCTCGAACCGCTGGCTTTCCCGCGAAAGGACGGGCCAACAGGTAGAAAATCAAAAATAGGAAAATTAAGCAATAATAATAATAATAAATGCGGAAAGAAAGGACGACGCTTCAAGTTTCTTTCGTGCCACAGCTCCGCCTGAATAGCGGTGCAAGTCCACGCACAAGCCCAAAACCCGATTTTCATCCTTACCCCATTTTCTTTCCTTTTCACACTTCCATTCTTCAGCCCACTGTACCTGCCCTGCAATAYAGCTACTGGGGTCCTACCGCGTGGAGCCTAGACGCGCAGACCCAGTACAGATGATATTCGAAGGGCTGGGCCTGCTTAGGCCACAACACCACCGC